ACTAGAGTGACAAAACTAGTGCAAGTAAATTTAAAAATTTGTCTTCAAAAATGCTCAAGTAACTTGAAATGTTCCCATTCCTAAGAAAAATATAAGAAAAGAGAAATTTAAGAAATAAAAGTGTCAGAAAAAAAGTGGTTATAAATGGCCCGTTTCCACTGAGTGGTATAGTATGGTACGGGTCACCTTTAGTAGGCTTGCGTTTCCACTGCCAAAAAGGTACCAATGGTGTATGATAGAAAGTTTCAGTCCACGTCATTCTCGCTCAAGGAAATGTCAAAGTAAAGATGTATGGGTCGTTCACATATCATACGAAAAGCTCTTCTCACATAACAGATGCTTAATACACAAAAATACTTGTGCATAAATGTTCATCACTACCCTTTCTATAAATATGATTTGATTTACTGCGGATCAATGATAGTGAAATAGCCTGCTATAACTCATGCAGCCACTTGTTAAAAAGTCATTTCGTCATTCTGAGTTTATAATAGGCATTGATAGTAGTTAAACATGTCAGTTTGTTCATGCATTAGGTTGCTGAAAGAATCATTTGCTCCTTTGTTTTTTCAGGCTTCACTCTCGCGTTTGTCTGTTTCTGAAAGGATCTGATGTCAGAAGCACTTCAAAATCTTGCACACATTATTATCATCAGCCCTAGAAGTTTGTTATTTTAAATGTAAAAATTGGAACTGGAAGAAAATGAAAACGCTTGCACTTTTAGGTGGCCTCGTAAAACAAAAACAGGACACAGCAGATTTTGTTCTTCTTGGCTTTTAGGCTGTTCATCAAGATGACGACAAGGTTTGTTTGAGCTTGGGTTGACCATGGCTCGTTATTATATGTATATATTATTACAGTGTTATGTGTTACAGTGTTATGTCTCGGCTGTGTATTTAAAAATGGCACTTTCTTTGTTTTCATTTTCCTGGCTTGTGTACGCCCTAGTGACGTTTCTCTGTAAACCAATAGCGTTAAAGGGTCACAAAACACCAAAACACATTTTATGAGCTGTTGACAGTCATATATGTGTCCCACACAGCTAAAAACACTATTACGACACATATATTGCACTAAAAAGTGAAAATTGGTTGTTTTTACGTTGTTTCGAGCAAATTTGTTCTTCTGGTTTGAAACTAATTTATGTCACACCGATTAAATCCTTGCATGTATTCCAGAGTGTAGACTGGCTGTCTGTACCTGGAAGTACTTCATGACATCTCTGAGTGTGCAGCAGGAATAACATACACGGCTTTCTGACGCTACCTACCATGTGCTTCTAATTTACAGGAAATGCAAAGGGTTTTTCTATCTCTCATTTGCCGTGCAGAATCAAAAATTGCATTAAGAATACACGCTTCCAGCAGTTCCTCGAATCAAATATCTTGTTTGTCATGAGCGGCATGAATGAAATGTTCCTAAATGAAAGTGCCAAACTGCAGTTAAAGTCCACCATTTAATAATTTGGCAAATAATTTGATTACTGATGTCCATGTAAACACAGTTACTGTCTTTCTCCACAGCGTGTGTGTGTGTGTGTGTTTGTTTTGTCCGACACTCCCACCTACACAGAGCTAGACACACCCACTTTCCTGACTTTTTCCAAACTAGAGGTGTGAAAACACCCTGCTGAAACAGGGGGGTTTCGTGGCCATTTAGGCCCCGTTTACACTAGTGCGTTTTAGTTTGAAAACGCATAAGTTTTGCTACGGTTACGCCATCCGTCCACACTATGCCGGAGTTCTCGAGCGCCGAAAACGGAGCTTTTTGAAAACGCTGGAAAGGCCGTTTTCATTCTAAAACGCTGCTGCTCCGTCTCAGTGTGGATGGGGAAAGACGAAGACATCTGAAAACGGAGGCGGGGCTGCAAACGTTCGCCTATCTGATTGGGGCTTTTCCTCAATATTAAGTAGCCCACACACAGTTCAGTCTCGCATCCTCTTCTTGTAAGTTAAGACTTCGCAAGTTTGATCAAGGCTGCAGTCTCCCCCTTCTCAGTTTGATATGGAAAACATACCGAAGACACGGGTAAATCTTCAAAGGGAACAGTGTACTTTATAACTTCATTCACATCACCCTGGCTACGTTGTTTCACTTTCTCAACAATAAAATGTAAACATGATTTAAGGAACTGCCTATTTTCTTTTTAATATTAGCAACTTAACAGACAGCAGAAATGTTGAGGCGTCGTGCTGCATATATGAGCGTCATCTTCACTGTGTGGATATTTATAACAAAACGGAGCCTATAACAACTGCCTCCTTTCAATTTCAGTGAAAATACGAAACGCACCCTCTCTTTTGCTGAAAATCAGTTTTAATAATCGATAATTATAAAAGTATAACATACAATAAGTTTATACATTGTAGGAAATAAAGACGAGCGATCAGTCAATGTACCTGGATTAATCATTAACTTATCTTTGCGCTTAACCAAAACATGTTACCCGTGAACAAGTAACTTAATAGATTCCAATGACCAAAGTCAGGGAATTGGCCTATGTCGTTAGATAAAGACAAAAACATGAATGAAATATCACGTTTAGCAAATATAGTGAGATTAGATCCAGCGGGAGATGCTTGATGAGCAGTCCGACAAGCAGAGCTCTCATCTGGGTAGAAATGCTAGAGCGCTTGCCCGAGAGTGTGTGTGTGATCACGTGATGTGCGTTTTCAGCGTTTTGGTGTGGACGGAGAGCAGTTCAGAAACGCTGGGTAAAACGCGAGTGTGGACGCGGATCGTTTTCATTCTACAACGCCGTTTTAAAACTAAAACGCACTAGTGTAAACGGGGTCTTAAGCTGCACATCTAGCTCCACATTTTTGTACCCTTTTGTTGTGCTAGGTACCCTTTGCAAAGGGTACCCAAAAAGGGGTATGGTACAGTTTGCTTTTTGGAATCTTTTGACTGTGTAAACGGCCATAAAGTGTACTGAACTGTACCGTGCCACTCAGTGGAAACGGGCCAAAACTTTAATCCACACCCCTTTGCAGACCCATCCATTAATTACCACTGCCCAAGGTGAACAAATAAATTTAGTGTCCAGCTACAAGTATTTAGACCCCGTTTACACTAATGCGTTTTAGTTTGAAAACGCATAAGTTTTGCTACAGTTACGGCATCCGTCCACACTACGCCTGAGTTTTTGAGCGCCGAAAACGGAGCGTTTTGGAAACGCTGGAGAGGCCAATTTCATTCTGAAACAATGCTGCTCTGTCTCAGTGTGGATGGCGAAAAACGGAGACATCTGAAAACAGAGGCGTGGCTGCTGAGTTCGCTACCTGATTGGGGCATTTGTTTCATTGCGTATTCTTCCCTGATTTATCAAGCCCCTATCACATGACTATAACACATGGCTTTAACGCTACTGGAAGACAGCAGACCAGCCTTCACTGTAAACAACAACATGACACAGAAATGGGAGCGTTGTTTGCATTATTTTCTGTTTTAGGCGCCATTGTGCAGTTATTCATTTGTTACGTTTAGTAACAACTCGACCTCGTCATCTGTCCACAAAACTTCGGGCCTCATGGCCAGGTAACTCTTGTAAATGAGAACTTGATCTCAATGGGTTTTTCATCAGGTTAAATAAAGAAACATAATCAAACTAGATAACTCCTTGGATTTACTTTTTTTTTTAAGTTAAGTGGTTGTAAAAAAATAATTTGGGTTGAATTTAAACAAACAAATTAAGCTGAACATTAATTTGATTGTTTAACTTCAACCCATATACATTGTTTGCAACGTTTTTCAGAAATCGTAGATGTCATAAAAATATTAAGTGTAGTGTAAATAGACCATTTTGAGGGATGTAAACGATAATAATGGTCCTAACGTATAGCTGTTTTATTTTCCATAGCTTCTGAGAATGCAAAAAGGTCCACATTTTGATAAATAATGGTGTTGCAGCTGTTTTAATGTGAAGGTATGATTTAATTGCCTCTTGAAATAGTTTGACAACAAGCAGGAAATGTTCATGGTTCAATGGTTTTTCCAACAGAGATTGACATGGTCTATAATTCTAAAATTATAAGTGTTTGTAATTATACAAATCAAGATATGAACCAGTTCCGTTACAATGCGTTTACTCACTTTTTTATAAAGTAAAGTAACTTATTTCGTTAAATAACATTTTAGTGTGTATAAGATGCATTAACATGACTTGATAACAATGTTTTAATTTTTTTATTGGTTTCTGTTCATTTACAAAACTCATATATGGAAAACATATTTATAGTCACTTTTTAACATCCAGAAAATATGTTGAAATCTGCGCTCTAGTAGTCTTATTAACCTTTGCATACCTAAAGTTCGCACTTCATATGGTCGCTACTCATTTAAATTTTCTGCTACTGATGCTTGTAATCATCTGCAGCAGACATTAAAGCTCAACACTTTTATTCCACTATCATCCTTTAAAAAGTCAACCCAGTTAACTATCTATTTCACCAGAATAAATTATATTTATTTTATTCTACATATTAATTATTTAAAATCTAAATAAAAAAGTATTACCTATACTTTTATATACTAGCCTATAGAATTCTAACCTAAGTTTTAAAGACCTAAGTTATAAACAATTCATTAATTAAACTGCGAGTTTTTTATTTAACTGTGTGTGTATATGTGGGCTCGAAAAAATAGATTTAGAACAGTTACTAGAGACTGAGCACTGCTTTAAATCAAGATTTTTCAGTGATACAAACGCCACATTAAACTCTCTGAAGCTCAGGGCCCGCTAAACCAACTTCTTCTCTTTTGGACACACGGTGGGGTCATCAGAGGGGCCGAACAGTTAGTTTGAAATCCTTTGTTTCTAAACTGTAACTCCCAAAAGGCTCTAAAGTAAATGTGCGCAAAAGCAACGGCGTGTGATAAATTGCCGTGAGCTCAAATGCGGCGGTTACATAATAATAAAGAATCGCTGTTGCAGATCATCGCGGCGGAGTCACATTCAAACACATTCAAACAACGGATGCTCGATTCTCAAATAAACTCACCAACTGGTCCCGGGCTCGGCAGTGATTTCGCCAGCGACCTCCAAGCACTACAGAGGAAAAGAAAAAGCGCAAAGAAGCGGGAGGCGCGCTGTGGACGCATTTTTACAGCGGCATCGTCAAATCCTCCTGAAGTAGCAGTTCATCCATGTTTCTTTGCGGGATGGCATTGACTGACTGTTCAGAAGTGCGGTTGCCGCTGGTGCCCACTCCCTTCCCGAGCACTGCTGCTCCGCGGCTTTCAGTCCTGCCGTCCCAGATGGGAGGGGGGATCCTGAAGCGATGTACCCCTGTGCGCCCTCTGCCGGACATGGGTCAGTTTAAGCTTGGGAAAAATATTAATGAACTGCTCTTTTGAGAAATTTTCAGTGGTGGAAAGAGTACTCAAGTAAACGTACCATTACTTAGTACCAAAAATGTAGTGCTGCAAGTAGAGTAAAAGTATTTGTTGTAAATAGAGTAATGAGTATTACGTTGTGAAAAGCTGATGTAATTATATGTAATTTGTGGATGTGTGTGTAAACGTAACATTCTGTAGTGCTTTGTGATTGTTTAAGGCCATTTCAGTCCTCATAGAGTACACATCTCTTATCTTCTCGCATGTAATGATTTCGAAAATCTTCTTGGACACTTTTAATTACACTTTGATGCACTTTTAATGATTCCAAACAGTTTGCTGTATTTATAAATCGCCCATGTTTCGAGGTTCAGAATGATGCGATTAACCTTCTATATGCGATTTGATTGGACAGGAATCACATGACTTTTTTTTAATGTCCATGGACAGGAAATGATAACGTAGTGACTGCAGTTTAAAGGAAAGTTGTGGAGTAAATGTACCAATACAGCACTAAAATTTTCTCGAGTGAAAGTAAAAAAACACAGTTTTAAACTACTTAGTAAATTAAAATTTTTGAGAAAAACTACTCGGTTAAAGTGATTTGAGTATTTGTAATTTGCTACTTTACATCACTGGAAATGTCATTTTTAAGAGTTCACACTTAGCTGATGATTGATTCATAAGATCCACAAGCCCGGGGTTCCCCCCGTTTGTAAGGCGAAAGGGAAGTTTGAGCTCAGGTAGATCTCGAGAACTCCCCCGCTCATTATATGGCTAATGGCAATTAGGAATTGCTTATCAATGGTGAAAAAGAGCTTATCAATGGTGAAATAAGAGCTTATCAATGGTGAAAATTTGGTTTGGTCATTTTAAATTCACCTATGTCACATGTCTTTGGACTGTGGGAGAAAACTGGAGAACCCAAGTGAGCACGGATAGAACATGCACACTCTACACATAAACGCCTACTGGCCAAGTAAGAATTTGAACCAATGACATTCTTGCTGTGAGGCAACAGTGCTAACACTGGGCCGGCGTGCTGCCAGTCAAGAAAAGGAGGGAGGAGGGTGCAAGGGGGATTATTCAAGATGAAGATATAAAGGTAAGAAACTCTGATTATTTATAGTGAGTTAGGAATCATCCGATAGGTGAATCCTGCGTTATTAATGCAGGACCAGCTGCAGTCAATCATAAGCACGTGATCCTCTCAAAATAAGTTTATAAATAAACTCCTCTAAAATGGCTCGCCATCGAAACAGTAATGTAAGGTGTAAGCTCAAAAAAGAAGATTTTTTGCTGTTTGTTCAAATTACTTTAAGTGAGCTGAAATAACTCACATTTAAGAGTTTTTTTTTTGGAGGGACAACTTAATTGTTTTATGTTCAATCCACTTAGTTGTTAATAGTTAACTTAAATGATTTGTGTGTGTGGAAACCTTCATTTTTACAGTGTAGTCTGAAATGAAATGGCTAAATTAAACTTGCTAATTTTCAATCTCACAATTCAGACCTCTCCCCCCATTTGCAGCTTTGAGTCAATTGCTAAGTTACAGTTCACAGTTCTCAAATAGAGATTCAGAGTTTTTAGTCATAGAAGCAATTTAAAAAAGACAATTCTGAATTTATATTCAAAAAATCATATTGTTGTATAAATTGTACATATTTAGACTTTCTCACAATTCCAAGTTTCTATATAGCATTTCTGACAATTTTCTATAAAAACTGTAACTTCACTTACAGTTTATCCAGCAATATGTAACAATTCTGACCTATTTTCCTCCAATTTTAATTTCCAGTTCCTAATTTTAGTTTACAAAAGTTCACAATTGTAAAATGTTCCCCTCAAAACTACAAAATATGAACGCTTTTCTAAATGAAAACAGTGAGATAATAACTCACAAATTCAAACAGAAAAGTCACAACTGCCACATAAATGTTAAAACCCCTTTTTTAGAAGGCAGAAATAAGCTTTCATAACATTTTTTTTAGTTTATTTGGTAGTTTATTACTCAATTATTGTCTTGCTGGTAATGTAAATAGTCTTGCATCCTGAAAGTAACATTGAGGTAAAATTGTGTTGCTTAAACATAGGGCATTGAGATTACACATTTTAGACTTTCAATGCCAGCAACATCAACAAAACACCAATGAATGAAATGACAAAATGAATGATTAAAGAATAATAGTGCTTTTCCCAGTAAGTTAGATAACGTACTGTAAAATTTCACATAATTCTAATATAAATATTATGTCCAATATGAATATTAAATGTCCAAAGTTCTAAAGCTCATGATCATTGCCCATCTGAAGTATTAAAAGTTACAGGCCAACATAAATTGAAAATTGAAAAGTAAATCAGCTTCTATTTTAGCCTGGGTGTGAATGGTGGCTGATTATCTGATTCCTGCCACTCCATATAAATCACACTGACAGATATTTTACAAAAGGACAAAGTATAGAATATAATTTAGCAAACACAATTTTAAAAGTCATACAGCATCACAAAGCTCAAGATTTGCAGTCTGACTTCAGTCTCCATTCAGCTGCTGAGTGACATCATCATCATCATCGTCATCATTATCAGATGGAGGACGGTTACGCTTGAAAAACCCCATCTTAAAACATACAGAGTTTTATAATATTGTTAACATGGATGAAGATTCAAGGTGTAAGCATGATCTGTTAACTTAACAGAGATGTTTGTTTATCTTTATCTAGTACAGGGGTGGGCAACCCTGTTCCAGGAGAGCCCCTTACCTGCAGATTTTAGTTGCTACCCATATCAAACACACCTGAATCAATTAATTAGGACCTGAACAACACGTGATAATTACAGGCAGGTGTGTTTGATATGGGTTGCAACTGAAATCTGCAGGAAGGTGGCTCTCCAGGAACAGCGTTGGCCACCCCTGAGCTCGCAGATCTTTAAGGGACAATTATAGCTCCCTCTGCTGTTAAACCCATAGAAGTACCTTCCAGAAGATGGTGCTCAGCGCAGCCAATAGAAGCAGTCCAGCGACGATTGACACTACGATCCACCACAAAGGTACCTCCTCTTGTCCATCAGGGCTTCGCCAAATTATTTTTGTGTGAGTCTACATAGATAGAGCTTTTTTATTACGAGCCCAGTGCTTACAGTAGCTGTCCTTCCAGGAAATCATTTGATATTTTTTTGTGTGTGGCCTAAAATATCTGATTGGGGGCAGCTTTTCTCAAAAAATTCTCTTCAAATCATCTTTAGTTCTATAGCACTTTCACAATGTAGATTGTGTATAACCAGCTTATTATTGGAACTTTAAAAAATTGAAACAAAATTTGTATCAGAATGTGCCATATTTATTTATTTATTTATTTTTGATTGGCTGTTTTGCTGTAAAAATATACATTCAGTTTTATGATGTAAAAAACTGTAAAATGTATTACTTTTTTGATCTTAATAACAGTTGGGCTCGATAATTTTATTAATGATCAAAATAAACACTTTGTAGAAAAATCTTTATTAGCGTAATCATTAGTATTACAAAAATTATGCTAAAATATGTTTATCAAATAAGATATGGCTGCATTACTTTGTGTTTTGCCCACCACAATAGCATTACAGAACCTTCATCGTGAGCTTAAACTTTTAAGATATCTTACTAAAGACAGATTAATGGAAGAAGGCAAAAGATTAGACTTAGATGCATATACTTAAACAGCAAGACCAACAAATTGCTAATTTTGGCCCGGTTTGAAGCACTTAATAAAACTGAGAAGTAAAATGATCTACATATTATTCAATAAAAATAATTATAGTAAAAAATAATATAAAAATTAAATATTGTATATGTACACAAATATAAATAAGCAAATAAATAGAATAAACGTCGGGCTCAAAAATCTATGAAAATCTGCGGTTTTCTGTGGGCACAGATTTTGTGCGATATATAAATATCTTTGAAAAAAAGAGTTTATTGGATGCTGATTAGCTGTCAGATTTAACTGCTAAATAAAGAGTTTTGATTGGTTCCATATGATATATACAGTGCTCAGCATAGAGTTCATTCCATTTTGAAAATGAATATTTTTCTCTATTTCTCAGTGAATATAGGCGATGTATTTTGGTGCATTCAAACAAAACTTTTATTAAACAGATATAGTTATTAAAATAATATTTTAATCACCAAATATATTTAGAAATTGAACGAAATTACTATTAAATTCAAGCTAAATATTGCAAAAAAATAAAAAATTAAAATCAACAAAACTAAATTTGTAAATTTTTTTGCTTCTCTTGATTTTTCCTCTTTTTAAATTTGTATTTAATATTTTTTTATAACATAAATTTGGGTGTACCTGTCTTTGGACCGTTATCATAAGTTATTTTATTAGATAAGCTCCAGATTTGGCTTCAGTGCTGACTAATCTAATGTATATGCAAAAATATAATATTGTGTAGCTTCCTATTAAAATATTAATTTAAAAGATAGATTTTGTAAGGGGTGCACTTATATATGCTGAGCACCGTATACCATTCTCATGATATCACATTAGCCATTAAAAAGCCATGACATGTCAGGCTTTTGTGTTTTTGATGCCTCTATCACAGCCTAATGCAAGAAGGGCTGGGCAATACATTGAATATTAGGAATAACTTTGTTGACGATGTAAAATGAAAATATTACACATATAAATGTAAAAAAATGAAATATTACACATATCGAATATTTCAAATTCAAGTGCAAGCTCCTCTGAATTAGTGGAACTGCACCTCAACGTTTTTTTTAAAAATCGATTTAATTCGATTTAAAATATGTCTTTTACCTGTTTATTTTAATATTATTACATGAATAAGTCATTTTAAAACATAGCTAACATATACAACTTTTCTAGGGAAATGTCATATTATAAGAATTATCGCTATCGTCTGATTTAGTAAATTCTGCA